TAAGTTGATTTACCCTTTTTTCTACCCTTTTTTCATTATTGTCTATAAGTTCTCTATAGGATTAAGATCTGAAGAATAGGATGGCCAATCAAGCACTCGCAGACATTTTTCTTGAAGAAGAATTGTTGTTAATTTTACCTTTTGCTTAGGATCGTTATTCTGTTGGAATGTTCATCTTCTTTCAAGAATTCTGGTAGCACTAGTAAAAAGATTTTTAGTTAAAATATCCCAATAAAGTTCTCCATTCATATTTTCAGTAAAACAATGAAACTCCATAATTTCACATGTGCAGAAAGTACCCTATGCATGAACTTTGAGTGGATGTTTTACAATTACGTGTTGTGGACTTTCTTTTCCAATCTTATATCTTACTAGTGTTATATTACGAAATAATTAAAATATAGTTTCATCAGAAAAAATGACTTTTCCCCAATTTTCATTTAGATGAGATTTTAACCATTCAACCCTATGTTTTTTGGCAGCGATGATTAACATTGGTATTGATATTGGTATGCAAACACAATAACTAAAATTAAAAAGATTTTCACAGATAATTCTAGGAGCAACATTAAGGTTTGGATATGTTTGATTAAGTGTAAAAGCAATTTTCTTGCTAGTTATACATTTTCTTGTGCTATCTAATTTTCCAAAATGAGCACATTTTTTTGGAGATGAAAGTTTTGGTCTTTCAGAACATGGTTTTGGTTTAATAATACCAAAATTTTCAAATTTTCAAATATAAGTGTATAAAGTGGATTTTGGAATATGTGTTATTTTATATAATTCATTAATATCATAGACTCCATTTGCCCACAAATTGCTTATAAATGACTGTCTTTTATTTAAAGAGAGTTTTTTGCTATTATGAAAAAAGAGATAGATAAAAAATTTTTTTTTTGCTAATCTTGTGATTATTTATTTATTTATATTGTGGATCATGTATTGGTTTAATAATTACACAAAAAAAAATAAAGTGTTAATTATTAAAAAGGAAATGATAAGTAATGTTAATCAAGTCACATAATATTATCATTACTTTCTGTCACTACTATAAAGGTGCATTAGACAATTCATTCTAATTGTACAATAAAAGATTATTCTAAAAGAATGATAAAGATTATTATTCTAAAGGAATAATAAATAAAATCGTTTTAATAAAACAATAATGCATCATTCTAAAAGAATGATAATACATTTTTCTAATAAAATGATAATGCATTATTCTAATAGAATAATAAAACATTATATTATCAGAATAATAAATAAAATTATTCTGATAAAATGATAATGCATCATTCTAAAGAAATAATAAATAAAATCGTTCTAATAAAATGATGAAAAAAATCATTCTAAAGGAACAATAGAAAAATTGTTCTAATAGAATGATAAATCATCATTTTATCAGAAAATAGAATGATAGAATGATAATACATTATTCTAAAAAAATAATAAATAAAATTGTTCTGATAGAATAATAATATATCATTCTAAAAAAACGATAAGTAAAATTGTTTTGATAGAACAATAATGCATTGTTTTAAAGGAATAATAGAAAGAATTATTCTAATAGAACAATAAAATATTATTCTAAATAAATGATAAAAGAATCATTCCAATAAAATAATAAAACATCATTCTAAAGGAATGACAAAAGAATTATTCTGATAGAACTAAAGATGAGGGACGAAACTCAAAAAAAGGCAATTAATAAACAGCTAAAATTATATTAAAACATAATGAGGAGTACAACGAAACCCCAAAACCTGAAATTAGCTAAAACTATATTAAAAATATAGTAAGGAATATGACGAAATTATTTTGAGGGAGTTTTGGCTGGTATCTTTAGATAGAACAATAATACATCATTTTATCAAAACGATAGAAAGAATCATTCCTTTAGAATGATTAGACATCATTTTAAAGAACTGATAGAAGAATCATTCTAATAGAATGATAAAATATCATTTTAAAGAACTGATAGAAGAATCATTCTAATAGAATGATAAAATATCATTTAATCAAAATGATGCATTATCATTTTATCAGAATGATTCTTTCTATCATTTCTTTAGAATGATATATTATTGTTCTATCAAAATGATTTTTTCTATCATTCTTTTAGAATAATGTATTATTATTTTATCAGAATGATTTTTTCTATCATTTTTTTTAGAATGATGTATTATCATTCTATTAAAATGATTCTTTCTATCATTTCTTTAGAATGATGTATTATCATTTTATTAAAATGATTCTTTCTATCATTCTTTAAAATGATTTATTATTATTTTATTAGAATGATTTTTCTATTGTCCTTAAGAATGATATATTATAGTTCTATCAGAATAATTTTTTTTATCATTTCTGTAAAATGATGATTTATTATTCTATCAGAATGAAACTTCTATTGTTTTTTTAAAATTATATATATCATTCTATCTAAACAATTTTTTATACTTTCTTTAAAAAAAAATTGTTAAATTTTTATTCAAGTTCAGCTTGACTTTGGACTCGATTTACTTGACTTTAAGCTTAATTTTATGCTTAACATTTGATTCAAATTTAGTTCAAGTTATCTTGAATCAAGTCAAACTTAACTTGAAACATAATTTAAGTTAAACAAGTCAAATTATTTTTGACTTGACTTAACTTAACTTAACTTGACTCAACTCATTTGATTTGAAAGTTGGCTCATCTCATTCAAAACTCTAATAGTAATCCTATGAATATTACTAGACTAACAAGTAAAAAAAAATAGCAGTTAAGTTTAAAAAAGACATGTTTTCTGAAAAGTTGAACAATGACAAACTGGATATTATTAGGTAAATTAATGCATAATAATTTAATAAGAGATTTTATTAATATATCAAGATTTTTTAGATAATAATACTTGATTTTTTTAATAGTAATAGTTATCTTATGCAAATGCACTGAGGAAAAGGTTTATTTTATATTTTTATAACTACTACATGTAAAAATAAGAATTTAACATGATTTAATTAGATGAAATAAAATTATATTGCTTTATTTTTTTTCAATAATTATGTTTTTTTATCTATAACAATTATAACAACTTGGGTTCAATCAATAATAAATATCTCACTGAATTAAAAATAGTGCTTAGAAGAAAATCTGATAAATTACAGTTTTATGACAAATCAATATGTCATAATTTAATACTAATAAAAAAATATTATATCTCAAAATTTATTATTTATTTCTAAGATCTTGCAATACATCTTTATTTGGATTATCCAGTACCTTAAAATAGGAAGTTTGTTATATAGTATAAACCATTCCTATTTCAATTATAATCACAAAGAAGGAATAAAAATCAGGTTATTATAGATCAAGATCTGTAGATGACAAATTGTACATGTTGGATATATACTATAATTCTTATTCAAATAGATTAATACTGTATATAATTTGTCTTATATATGTAATTTGAATTTGTAGAAATAATAAAACTTTACTGTTTATCTGAGAGTCTATAAATCATGGATTCTAATTGCTCTATTTCATTTTGAATTTCTTTTTAACAATGTCTTATCATATGATTTACATGTAAATTAGAATATATTTTTTTTATTAGTAATTCAAAACTGTATAATAAGTGAAATAGAATATATCAGAAATATTTAACAGAAAAAATAATTCAGTTATTAATTGATCCTCAGCAGATACTGGTGACATATTACTATGCATAATATATTTTGCAGATATAATTTATATAAACCAATGATGTCTAACTGCGAAAAAGTATAAATGATGTCTTTATACGCATAATATATAAGCCATCTCAAAGAAACATAAAAGACCAGTCTTTTTGGACTGAATCGATCCAACCCTATTTGGGGCGATACTATGTTAAATCCGTCGTACACAGATCAATTTTATCATTAAAAAATATTTTGTGTAACTCTAATTATATTAATTAAGAAATTGATAGACCATTATGTGTTCAATTATTTTTGATCATTATTTTTTCCTTTTGAGCGATTACTTTTTTTTTTACATTGACGCAAAATTTCGCTTTAAAAATAACTTTTTTCAAGATCTTCATTAAAAGTAATGATAGATATACAACTTTTATAGCAAAAGTATATGTATTTTTATGCGAAGAAAAAGATTTTCTAACATAATAAAGTTAGTTTTTCAGATGAATTTTATTTAAAATACAAAAAATCAATTTTTTTAATAAAAAAAGTATTTTTATTTTATAAAAGTTTTAAAATAAGAAACCTTTTATAAATGTTATGTTTTTAAATGCAACTTGGTGAAAATAATAACCTTTAATAAGATAAGTAATATCACACTTTCTTTGAATGGTGTCATTCTAGCTAATTAGAAAATATTAATTAATATATTTAAAATAATGTAGAAGCTTAAGAAAAACTATGCAATTAATAGTGTAAAGTATATGTTTATTAATTTAAAATTACTATATTAAATTAAACCTTTTACTTACTTTGAATTATGAAATATAGAGAGGAAAAAATAATTATTTTAAAAAAATGACTAATATAGATAATGGATATTTTGGTTTTATTTTTAAATCAAAACTGTGCAATACTTTTGTCCTCCCCCGGTATATCTATTTTTAATTAAATTTTGGACATATATATACTAATTTATGTATTATGTATTTATGCAATAACGATAATAATAATACAAATAAAATAAACAATACAAATTCATCTAAGTCAAGGTTTTTTATATCCAAATTCTCATTGGCGAGTATGGTTCGGTTGAATTTTGGGAGAATAAGTACCAAAAGAGGATCTTCTAAATGTAACAACATTGCTATAATTAACATGTATGATTTTTACGACATTCACCGCCGTACCGCAGTTCGACCATGGCTTGACGTCAACACTTTTGAGGTTAACAATTCTTCCCTCCTAATTTTCGAACTCCGGGAGAAAATCATCAGTTTCTCCTTCTACTCTTAAAAAACTTATTGAGCATAAATAACCAATGCTCTATATTCCTCAGCCTTAAGTCCCCTGATAATTGCAAGACTCATAGTCTGAGTCTTTTGTAATTGCTCTATCCCTAAAAATTCGAATAGATTATAAATCCGAGTAGCCGCGAGTCGAAAAATATGTAGTAATTAGATTCCTTAACATTAACCGTTCGGATGGGCTGGTTGATTCTGATTCCAAGAAATGTTCCAGGTAATATGCGTTAATAAAGGCAATGGTTCTATCCCTTAATCTGCAAGCTCTTAGGAGTGCACGATATGCACTTTGCACCTTTTGCTGCAAAGTCATTTCTTTGGAATATGGTGCTTGTACATGGAGGGATTTCTTTCGAGGTAATCAATAGTGTCTTCATTTGTATTGACGCTAGACATTGATGTACATTTTCTATGTTCCAAACATTTTGAGACTGTCCCACAAACTGTCTCACCAATGTCCCAGGCCATGTCCCAACAATGTCCCATGACAAACTGACGCTAGAATTCGGACATTTTTGCTAATTTAAAGGAGAATATCGTGTATTTAATATGGACCTTTCCACTTTGGGTCTAATTTTCCATATTTTCTGAAGTGTCGTAAGACTGATCAGTGTCTATAGGAGCTTTATTAACTGGAGGAATAGAAGGTACAAGTCCTTTCAGTGGTGGACGAAGTTGCAGTAATTTCTATTTCCAGCAGTTGATATATTTTCGTTTGCTAAAGTTGAAGTGGACTGTTCTAGTTGAAGTTGTTGAGGTTCGGTTTATCAAGTTGAAGTCTCTTCACAGGTGGTGGTGGTTGTCTATCATTAGCAGGTGAGCCAGAACGGCCGCGGTTACTTGGTTTTCTAGTATTTCTTGTTTTTTAAAATAAATAAAAATCACATTTAATGAGCAAATCTCATTACTTAAACCCCCCATTTTTTTAATTTGCACGAAATATTGATTCATTTGATTTTTCCATTAATTATGATCGCCACTTATACTCAGATTAGTGAACCATCACAAAGTATATACAAATCTTCAGTCTCACAAAGTCGAACAATTTTGGCTCTTTACCATTAAACATCATCTTGACGTAGATAAAATCTTCAGCACACTTTAAATCTCGTGGCTCCACTTTGAACTTCCGATGTCAATAATTGCATATTCCTTTGCCCAAATAGTTTTGGTTCATATATCCTATTCGCCCTAAATTTTTTCCAATGACATACCATATTCTCACCGTCACGTAATAATTCAATGTCAATCTCTCACATAAAAAATCCACAAACCTAACACCGTTCCTACTTCTGGAGAGATAAATACATTTTTCAGTAGAAGCTGACATCTGCTTTATAAAATTCCATCTTCCAGACTCTGCAAAAATCTCCATCACAACCAATACTAAGCGTTTTGAAAATCTTGGGGTTCATTACTACAAAGACTGATTCCAAAAAGTTTCGGGTGCACTGATAGCACGTTGCGTGGTACCGAACCGATGCTGAATATTCATGGCTCGGAAGTAGCAGTGCTGCAAGATCTAAATTATTATCCAAGCTAGGTCGAAAATCTGATAGCACATTTGTTTTAACAAGCCTACCATTGTTAGGAATTTCGCATAAATGGATAAATTCCGGGATTGAAGAGCAAGTTGGTCTGACAGGCGACGTTCGTCATCATCAGTCGTGCGCTGACGCGAATGTTCTAATTAGAAAAAAATGAATGACTTACATTAATAAGATATGTGAAACCCCAATACGACGAAAACCTAGAATTGAAATCATAACACTCGAGTTATTTTCAAATGTCAACATTTCTTTTTTTTGCTTTAGCTAATAAGAAAACCTTTGGCATATCATGTCCATTATAAATGCAGAACGTCCTGGGTGACGTAGAGTTACTTATTCACGCAAATTTTTAAGCAGAGCTTTGTCATCATCTATAATAGTTGCTTGCACTCGATAAAATCCGAGAATTCATCCTCTGTATAGCGAAAATTTTCAAGATTCCAGAAAGAAGAATCCGATAAAAACCATGAATTAACTTCCATCGATTGTACATTCCCATCATATGCACCGTGCGACTATACGCAATCCACTAAATTGTTGTACTGCTTTGAACACTTCTCCATGTTTGGGTTACCAATCTGCGACTATATTACCTGCAATTCATCCACAATTCAATGAAGTTGCATTCACTAACGAAACTAAGCCTCCCATCAAATCACGGAATTTACTATTGAAGTTCCCAGTCTAACGTATACGAATACATCCAAAATAATGATAGACGGAACATTATCTACTTCTCCTGAAATTCTGGTAACTCAAGAAGATGATATTCCAGAAGCTGTGCAAGAGCCGTCTTGCCAGTCATTGCCGGCGAGCGCACAATTAGAACAGGATTGTTACATAAATGATCCCAAATTTTGGGGATTCGTTTACAGATAGTCTCGCTTCGAATATCAATACCTTCGTAACCAAATCCATGCTCATGAACTCATATAATGGTACCGCCTAATCCTCTTGTTAAAATAGGTGGCATAATGGTAAAGTTCTGCCGGTATTAGCGATATGGAAAAATAAAACGTGATCATACCTAGTCTAGGGGTGTACCCTTTTTCTTTGCGTATATTAACAAAAATATTTTTCTTGTTATTTCGGTGAATACTTATTAAATCAGAAATATCAAAATCATGACGGATTTGAAGCTCTGGTGTACGTAGTTCAGATTATTCTAATTTCGAATTCGAAGTTTTAAGACAACCATATGCATAAAGAGAAAAAAAACAAAAACTTAGTAATTATCGCGAATTATTTATTCTCCCAAAAAGTGGATAACGGGCAACGAGAAATGAGTATAAAGTACTATCGCGATGCTCTGCTCTAAGTTCGTTCAACGTGTGTTGTAACAACTTTACTTACAATAAACATGCGTTTACCTTTTAGATCTTTGGAATTCCTTATTCAAATCTTCCGAAGGGATATGTGGTTTTTTTGACGAACAAATTTAGCTAATTCCAGTGCATATTTCCGTGCCGGTAAAATCGTTTTTTTTTGTTGAGAAAACCACCTATGCCCTGAGATTAGGATAATATCCTATACATAAGTGTCGCGAAAATTTCTATCACGTGATCCTGTTCGCTGATTATTTCCAAAACTAGTCAAACGAAAAAAATAAAAGTTCTAATCTAATGTAGTTTTTTATATTCTTTAGTTTACTAAGAACGAAATTAAGGAATAATAATACTGATTTTTAACACTACCGAAATGTTAAAATTCAATAAAATCGAAAGCTTTATAAAAAATCAATTTTTTACAAATTTTTCATTTTAAAATTAGCAATCATTTTTTTTTTCATTTTTGTATTACACGTAATTTCTACAATCCTTCAGCAGTTTATCCTTTGCTAGATTAAGAAAACCTATCTCACTTAGATTATAGATTCAACTCTTCTTCCTCTAATGGGTCTTTGACTTATCTATCATTTATAAAATCACTCCAGTTGAATTTGACTCCTCTGTGATGTCTCTAATATTCTAATATTTAATAATTATGACAAAACCAAAATGAATTTCGTTGTTTATACGAAATAATTTAAACTAGAAATTTACGCGATCATTTGCTAAATTATTCTTATCTCCTAAAAAAAATCCTTTGTAACACCCCATTTACTTCTAAAATCATTTACAAACTACCCTTAAATTATTCGACTTTTCAACATATATGTTTGATGTATTACTAGTTACATTGATGTTGTAATAAGTAAATATCCTTCTTTCCTGAACATCGGGTATGACGATTGGGAACGCGCCTTCCTATGTTTTTAAAGAAGCAATAAAATAAGAGAAAATATCTTTCGATCTGAAATTTAATCAACCAAGGATATTTTTTTTATCAAAAGAGGTCGAAGCTCATTCTCATTTGGGTTAAACCCTTATGTAGGGAACATGAGTAAAAATTATGAAAATCAACTATAAGAAACTCGAAGAATTTATAAAAGATAAAGATAATTAAAAAGAATCGTTTTATAAAAATAGATGTAACACAGTAAGGGTACAATTTATTAAATTCTAAAAATTTTATTTATTTAAATTATAGTTATATTCAATATAAATAATTTATATTCATTCCTTCTATAAATACTATTGACCTATTTTTATAACCAAATAATACTGTATATATATATATAATATTTTACACCTTGTTTCGTTTCCCTTCCTAAAATTTCCCTCAACATTAGGCCTTTGAAGTGTAATTAATGGTACCGCCATTAATCACGCCTTGTTTATAATATTCTTTGCACACTTGAACGATATAATAAGAATAGAAATCATTATCTAAATTAAAAGTTAAAAGTCGTCGTCTTCCCTTCCACATTTCAAAAAAACCTCGAAGATCAATATGAGAAAAACTCCATTTTCCTTTTAAATAAATTTTCCTTAATTCAGGAGAAGATCTAGTAGCTAATAATTCCAAGATAGGTCTAGCTAAAGCAGGTTCTTTATTGAGATGTAAATCATTAGGTTCTTTTAATTCAATTTGAATCACCTTTAACTCGCTGGAAGAAAATAAAAAACTATCAAAAACATCTAAAGATTGACGTCTCGCCAACCAAATTGGCACAAATTCAATCCTAGGACAATAAGTTGTTAAAGTTTGTAAATAAATTTCTATATTGGAAATGGGAGGATGAGATTTTGTTTCAATCTTAATTATTCTAAGAAAACCTTGAGTGTTTGAAATAAATGTTGAATAAATATCAAAATTTACACCAACAGCATTTTTAAAATTTAAAACTTCTAATTGAGGTATAATAATATCTTTTAAACAATATAATCCAATATAATCAAAGTTTTTAAGATTTATATGTAATTCAGTTAAATTATTAAAAGATGGAAAAATATGAGGGGAAAGACAAACTCTATTCTCAAATTCAATGGACTTTAATGAATGTGAAAGAAATTTAATTGTTTCTTCTTTTTTAAATTTAAATAATTTCTTTTCATCAATTGCAATAAATTTTAATTCTTGTAAATTCTTTTGTGTAAGAATAAGTGATTCTATTTCTTCATTGTAATTATTAAAGTTCATTACAATTTCGATACGTCTTATGAAATGACAATATTTTTGTATTTCCAAAAAATATTCTGAGGTAAGAAATGTATCGCAATCTAATGTAGATAAAAATTTTAAAGAATTTTTTGCACCAGGGTATTCAAAAATTTTAAAAGTGGGAAGCTTTAAGAATTTGATACTATAACTTTGTTTTAAGAATAATTTCCAAAATTCCTCTTGAATCAATGTTCTATGATCATTTGATGTATTATTGGTATTATATCCATCAAGCATATTATCGGTTAATTTTCGTATAATTCTAGATGAAAGTGATTGACAATATGAAATGTAATTGAATAAAGGTGGTCCAATAACTGATGGGTTTAATCGTAAACCTTTCTTAAATAGTAATTCTTTGGATTCATTAGGAAGACATTTGATAATCGTTTTCCCAATTGTTTTCCAAAATATTGTGTCATCGTAACGAATTGAAGAATTAATCCAAGGATTTCTCCATAATATTGGCACCACAATTTTACAAAAAAATCTATTTGCATACATGCAAGAGTATAACGTAATTTTATCATCTGAAAGGTATTCTAGAATCCCATTTAAACAATTTTCGTTGAGTGGTTTAACTTTCATAATGACTTTTACTTCTTAAAAAGAACACGATGGAAAGAGAGAAAAAAAAGATTTTTTTTTTTTTCCTTGACGTGAACTATATTTATATATGTTCTACAGCCACTTTGCAGTGTGTATCACCGATCGACCAACCCACTCTGATTACCTAAACTTTAAATTTCGATCAACTCATTATGAATACGTAGTTTCGTTTTTAAGTAAAAGTTATGTAGCACAAAAGCATCACGGACACTATAACTTAACTTTAACGTTAAAAAGAATCATGTGCAACGGAGCACGGAGCTTTTACGTTTTACAACCTGAACAAATATTTATTTGCGATAAGCCTCTTAATCGTGTAACGCCGAATTTGTTTGATCCGGTTTTTTTTTCTCCCTTTGTTTTATAAATTAGTTCCCAAACTTACTTTTTCAAGAAATTTTTTTTTTTTTTAATTTTACTTTTTTTGTAATTATATATAATATCCAAATATCATAATCAATTTTTTTTACATCAATTTACCCTTCTCCCCCCATTTTTCATTAATAGAGAAGGGAAAAAAAAAAATGTTGCAATCAATCCAGAAAATACCTGACGATTGTATTCAAAATATTTTAAAATATTTATATAAAGATCACAAAACATTATTTTCATGTTTATTTATCAATAAACAATGGTGTGAAATTACAATCCCTATATTATGGAGAAAACCCTGGAAGTATGGAATCTCTCTTGAATTTTGGGAAATTATTACGGATACGCTCATGTTATGTCTTTCCGATTATTCTAAACAAGTGTTAAATATTAATGGTATTATTTCAACGACATTTTTATCACAACCACCTAAATTCAATTACGTTTCCTACATTGAATATATATCACAAGATATAATCACAAAATTTGTTAATAACTACATTACAATAAATTTTGAAGAAGACACCTTTAGTTCCATGCATAGAGATTTATTATTCGAAGAGATTTGGAAAATGTTTCTGAATCAATGTTTTTCGTTAAAATCCATTACATTACCGAATATTAAAATTATTAATTATTTAGAACAAGATAATTCTGTAAAAAATATTAGAAAGTTAAAGTGTTCAACGGACATAGATCCTTCGTTATTTTTAGATTTATCCCAATTATGTCAAAACATTTCTAAGATAATTATTATTCAGAATAAAAACCTTGAAGAGAATGAGATAGGATTAAACACTTTAATAGAATCACAAGATAAGATTGAAGAAATTAAGATCGAATCATTGATGAACATAGAAAATACATCCTTAGCGAAATCATTACGAAAACATATCAATTCACTTCAATCAATTTCATTAAAAAATTTTAATTCATTACCTTCATCTTTATTTCAAAATACGGAATTTCCAAACTTAAAAATTCTAAAAATCAAGTTAATTAATGATTTAAAAATTTTAGACTCAATTAAATTACCAAATCTTGAAATACTTGAAATATTAAATAATAGTATTTTAATTGATCAAACTATCGATTTATATTCAAAATTAATTTCAACTGCTACAAATGGCAATTTAAAAAAAATTAATATAGAGGTTTCAAATGATCAATGTTCGGATGATTTAAAGGAATTCATTGAAATTATTACGAATCGTTGTAATAAAATGGAATACCTCACTCTATGGATCAATGATAAATTAATTGATAATTTAGAAAAGCTATTAATTAGTTGTAAAGATTTAAAACATATCACACTTAATAAAGCAACAGATTTAGATTGGGAATTGGTTGATGATGAATTTAACGTGGAAAATCCGGACAATGAAACGAAAAGTAATGATAGTAGCGGAAGCGGAAGTGGAAGTGGTGGTGAGAGTAGCAGAAGTGGAAGTGGTAGATGTAGTTTAGGTGTAACCAACATTCTTAATCAATCAACTGAAAGAAGAAAAATCAGTGAACCTTCTTCTTGGTTAGAATTTCTAACAAAAAGTGTTGGAATTGGTGTACAAACAAATGAGTTTAAATTTTTAAGTATTTTAGCTACTCATTCTTCAAATAATTTATCTGAATTAATCATTCGTGGAGATTGGAACTTTACCAGAAAAGATTTGTTGAAGTTTTTCGAAACTTTAAAGGAGAAAGATTCGTTAAAACCTTTAAAGTTGCAAATAGTTAATAATAAAACTTCCATAGAAACCATTAATGATGTTTGTAAAAAATATTCCGAGGAAGGTATTTTAAGGGATTGGTTAGCATATAAATATAATCGTATTTAAATTTTTGTATATAATGTATTAAAAAAGACTTGTTTATAGATTTTAATGATTTAATTTTATTTCATGTATTTTCTTTTAAATAAATATTAGTAAATGTATAAAATGAGAAAATTAAAACTGCCATTTAAATGAGCAAAATAATGGATCATAACATTTAAAGGCGTTTCAATAGATTATGCACGCGACGAAATTTGCGGTAATTTCGGGACACGCTGTCGGTAAGTTACACACGGTTTTCAATTAAGAAACGAGAATCATTTTTTTTTGTATAAATACTTTGATAACGTATGTTATTATTTATATACACCACATATTTTTTTTATGTAGTGAAACAATATATATTCTTAATGTAAAGAATATAAGATATTAAAAATTTTTGTTAGTAATGATACTTAGCGAGCGTTAAATAATAAAATTGGAAAACCAATTTTTTTAATTCGCCCAGTAATCTAATAATCTATCTAAAATATATTTATCAAATGTGTCTAATTCTATAATTCAATTATCTATTTCTAATTATAATTTTATTAGTTTTTGATACTTTATAATAACTTAATTAATAATTATTTAACTTTTTTATAATAGTAATTATTAAACTAATTTATATATATTTGTTTAAATTTATTATTTAAAGCTAATTATTATAATATTAGATAAGTTTTAAAATTTTATTTTATATTATTAATAAGTATTATTTAAAGCTTTCAAAATATAATTTTTTAATTTAAGAGCTTAATTATAATACTATAAATATGATTTTAATTCTCGAATTTTTTATCCCTTAGATTGTAGGGTTTCGCAAGCAAATTTGCCTGCTTATTTACTATAAATTTTCTTCTGATTTACTTTTATAAATAATTAATATTTTTAAAAATTTTTTTTTTTAAATTAATTATATAAATATTTAATATACTATAATAAGTTTTATCTTTTAATTATATAATAAAAAAAATTAATTTTACTTAGAAGCTAAAAATTTGTAATTTTTAAAAAAAATTTATTTTAAAAAATTTTATGATTAATCTATGATAAACT